ATGTAGAGGAGGGGGATGTAGAGGAAGGGAATGTAGAGGAGGGGAATGTAGAGTAGGGGAATGTAGAGGAGGGGTATGTAGAGGAAGGGAATGTAGAGGAAGGGGATGTAGAGGAGGGGAATGTAGAGGAGGGGTATGTAGAGGAGGGGGGTGTAGAGGAGGGGGTGTAGAGGAGGGGGATGTAAAGAAGGGGTATGTAGAGGAGGGGGATGTAGAGGAGGGGGTGTAGAGGAGGGGGATGTAGAGGAGGGGGATGCTTTAGTTGTAGAGTGACAGATCTTTGTACTCTACCAAGGGACTGATAATGAGAAAGCACTAGAACTGATGGTGTATCTGATTAGTTTGGTACTAAAGGTGTTCTGACTCAACTCATTCATACATTTCTGACAAGGAAATACCTCACAATCAAAGGTACTGTCATTGTAATGAGATGTTCTATCATGCACAGCTTTGTCATATGTGCTAGATTATGACCCATAGCAGTACTTTATTCTCATGTTTTTAAAGGTCTAGATAAGGTAAAAGTGTTCAAAGGCTACAAAGGCAGAAATTAACAAAAATTGTTCTTTCAAAATTAAAACAAATTAAATTGCAATGAGAAATTGTTTTATTTCAAAGCACGTATTTAATCAGTTATGGTTAAATTGTGAACAGATTTTCACATACAAAATTTATATGATACAGATAAAAGGTATATAAATCTACACTATAAAATTTACATGCACATCATTGTTCTCTGTGTGAACGTGAAAGACATTGTATTTACAAGAAAAAAAGTGATTCTTTTTTATTTAAATGTAAGTGTAACAATATTAACACACGCAACATGTTAATCAAAATAGATAAAATATATGTATGTGTTGAGATAGCACATGTATTAACAGAACATGGTCATAACTGTAATGACTTTGGAAAATATTTTGTTTAATAAAGATGACAGATACATTCTTTTACTTATACCTTTCTTAGCTTCAATAATGGAACAACATGCTTGTAGTTAAGGATGGAACAACATACATGTAGTTAAGGATGGAACAACATACATGTAGTTAAGGATGGAACAACATACATGTAGTTAAGGATGGAACAACATACATGTAGTTAAGGATGGAACAACATACATGTAGTTAAGGATGGAACAACATACATGTAGTTAAGGATGGAACAACATACATGTAGTTAAGGATGGAACAACATACATGTAGTTAAGGATGGAACAACATACATGTAGTTAAGGATGGAACAACATACATGTAGTTAAGGATGGAACAACATACATGTAGTTAAGGATGGAACAACATACATGTAGTTAAGGATGGAACAACATACATGTAGTTAAGGATGGAACAACATACATGTAGTTAAGGATGGAACAACATACATGTAGTTAAGGATGGAACAACATACATGTAGTTAAGGATGGAACAACATACATGTAGTTAAGGATGGAACAACATACATGTAGTTAAGGATGGAACAACATACATGTAGTTAAGGATGGAACAACATACATGTAGTTAAGGATGGAACAACATACATGTAGTTAAGGATGGAACAACATACATGTAGTTAAGGATGGAACAACATACATGTAGTTAAGGATGGAACAACATACATGTAGTTAAGGATGGAACAACATACATGTAGTTAAGGATGGAACAACATACATGTAGTTAAGGATGGAACAACATACATGTAGTTAAGGATGGAACAACATACATGTAGTTAAGGATGGAACAACATACATGTAGTTAAGGATGGAACAACATACATGTAGTTAAGGATGGAACAACATACATGTAGTTAAGGATGGAACAACATACATGTAGTTAAGGATGGAACAACATACATGTAGTTAAGGATGGAACAACATACATGTAGTTAAGGATGGAACAACATACATGTAGTTAAGGATGGAACAACATACATGTAGTTAAGGATGGAACAACATACATGTAGTTAAGGATGGAACAACATACATGTAGTTAAGGATGGAACAACATACATGTAGTTAAGGATGGAACAACATACATGTAGTTAAGGATGGAACAACATACATGTAGTTAAGGATGGAACAACATACATGTAGTTAAGGATGGAACAACATACATGTAGTTAAGGATGGAACAACATACATGTAGTTAAGGATGGAACAACATACATGTAGTTAAGGATGGAACAACATACATGTAGTTAAGGATGGAACAACATACATGTAGTTAAGGATGGAACAACATACATGTAGTTAAGGATGGAACAACATACATGTAGTTAAGGATGGAACAACATACATGTAGTTAAGGATGGAACAACATACATGTAGTTAAGGATGGAACAACATACATGTAGTTAAGGATGGAACAACATACATGTAGTTAAGGATGGAACAACATACATGTAGTTAAGGATGGAACAACATACATGTAGTTAAGGATGGAACAACATACATGTAGTTAAGGATGGAACAACATACATGTAGTTAAGGATGGAACAACATACATGTAGTTAAGGATGGAACAACATACATGTAGTTAAGGATGGAACAACATACATGTAGTTAAGGATGGAACAACATACATGTAGTTAAGGATGGAACAACATACATGTAGTTAAGGATGGAACAACATACATGTAGTTAAGGATGGAACAACATACATGTAGTTAAGGATGGAACAACATACATGTAGTTAAGGATGGAACAACATACATGTAGTTAAGGATGGAACAACATACATGTAGTTAAGGATGGAACAACATACATGTAGTTAAGGATGGAACAACATACATGTAGTTAAGGATGGAACAACATACATGTAGTTAAGGATGGAACAACATACATGTAGTTAAGGATGGAACAACATACATGTAGTTAAGGATGGAACAACATACATGTAGTTAAGGATGGAACAACATACATGTAGTTAAGGATGGAACAACATACATGTAGTTAAGGATGGAACAACATACATGTAGTTAAGGATGGAACAACATACATGTAGTTAAGGATGGAACAACATACATGTAGTTAAGGATGGAACAACATACATGTAGTTAAGGATGGAACAACATACATGTAGTTAAGGATGGAACAACATACATGTAGTTAAGGATGGAACAACATACATGTAGTTAAGGATGGAACAACATACATGTAGTTAAGGATGGAACAACATACATGTAGTTAAGGATGGAACAACAAACATGTAGTTAAGGAAATGCTAACATTAAGGCACATTTGTCCCTATTGTGAACATCACAGGTCTTGTGAATCTATAAATGCTTTGATAGAAAGCTTGTCTTTATAGTAACATTCGTTGTTGTTTAGCTGAGTTGTACAAATGGCTCACTGACGGTTACCTGTCTTTGGTTAATACCTCCAAAAGAGTTTAATCATTTACCATCTTCCCAAAAGAGATCAGTCATATACCGCCTTCCCAGAGGGGTATGGCACAGTCTGTATATATATGTGTATTTGAAACACAATAAACATATGTTGAGACTGTGGGTTGGGGCTCTGTGCCATAGCCCTGTACTCCTTCCCAAAAGATACCTTCTTCACAAAAGAGTTCACTCGTATACCTCCTTTCAAAAATAGTTCAACAATACGTGATCTGTAATGTATCCTGTATGGATGGTATAATTAATATGAGGACATTTATATTGGTATAATTGATGGGATGACATATGGGAGGAAGATAAGAGTGCATTCATTGATCGAGAATGATCAAATAATGCTAGTTAAATAAATTGTTTAAGGGAGATAACTCTGACACAAATCACAGGCGTAAAGAGTAAGGTAAAATGCAACCTTAAGAAGAACAGTTTCCATGTTTTTGTTATTTATGCAGGACTTTGTTTAATCTTATTTGTTTTTTATTCAATCTGATATATCAGTTGAAGTGTGCAAAATATTTACATCATATTTTAATTAAAAAAGTGGATGATGATTTTTTGTCTACAATGTAAACACGAAATGCATCTGTATCCCAAACTATGTGTCAGTAAAGTGTTGAAGAATATGAGCATTCCTTATGTAAAATTAGCTGATTAGTTCAAGTAAAAAACCCTGAAACTTTTAACACAACAGCATCATGGTTAGCCAAGCTAGCAGAAGCCACTGATCACTCAACTCCTACAGAAAAGTTATCCTCAAGAATCGACTTTTAATCAAACCCAGTCTCGTTAAATGGTACATCATTCTGACAATCATTTTTGTGTGCATGGCTATTGTGTCAACTCAATTTAGAGCCCTTTACCAATTGCCTGATGCGCAATTTCAGAAGTTATGTAATAACTGAATAAAAAATAAAAATTGTGCAAAATTTATTATGTAGGGTCTAATGTCCTTAAGGTAATAATGAAGTTATCCAGAAAATAATAACGGCTCCAATAAATATTATATACTTGTACCAATCCAAATTTTATTTGTAGATAGCTCCCACGCAGAATTTTCGCAATTTCACTTACTTTACGTTTTTACATTTCAACTTCCATTTGCATTGTTGTCATATGATATACATTACGATATACTTACAGATGACTTGTGGTATTATGTTATAACCATGTTACAAGTTTCATTCAGATTCCTAAACCTTTTTATAAATGTTGTATAAAGGTTGATCTGAGGTACAGTGAGTGTAATATACATACGTTTTTTATGGTTTGTACAAGTTTTAGGGACCGCTGTTGATATACAGTTTACTTCACTGTATTTTAGGACCCGTTGGACTTACACTAGCCTGTAGGTCGTTTTTTCCTCATTAAATATGATTCTGTCTTTATTCTTTCAGAATTTAACGGTGATTTTGACTTCATTTTTGTGTGACTTTTCAGGAAATGATGGAGAAGGATGACATCATCGCAAATCTACAAAGTAAGGTTGACCGACGACACAGAAAGCGGAACAAAGGCTCCTCCGCCCTCAACGGCAGCTTTCTGGCCGACGATAAGGTAGTTATAGAGTAGACCCCTTCACTACAATATCGCATTCAGGGTAATTATTATATAATTTTTGCTGGTTTGCTCAGTAGGAAGAGTCTGAAGCAAAGTATATATACTTATCAGGTATACACCAGCATTTTCTGGTAAAGTATACACTTAACTTTTACCCAACAACCAAAATCAAAGTTACCCAGTGCCTGTTGGTGTTAAATGTTAAAAGGACAACTTTACATTTAACCCTTTCACCCCTATGTAACTTTAATAAACTCTACCATAAATTGATCCAGATGAGTCCATTATGGTGTACAGTGTTGAAAGGGTTAAACAGAGCAAAATGTTAATAAAAAAGACTTAATGACAATCAACAAACAACATCTGACCACAGTTGGTGTAGGCTGCCCCCTATAAACCAGATGTAATGTTTATGTACCTGAGATGGTACTTAATTGTTACTTTCTGATTGCCAGACGATTAATTGTCTGATTGTCAGACGGTTTAGTGTCCCTCTAGTCTCTCAGGAATTCATCCTTAAATACAATGAACTGATGTTATGGTACCTTTGGGTCAAAGGTTAGGAGTGGCCCCTTAGGTTTGACAGTTACCATTGGTGATCTGGCTGCCATGGTCATCCTGGTAGTCTTGTCAAACACAGAGACATTCCTGTACTGGTCATCCATTCAATGATAAGCTGGCACCCTATTGACATCTGGTCTACCTCTGGCTGTGTTCAGGTCATTGGAATACAAGAACTATAGGGAGAATATTCCCCTGGACACTAGATCATTGAATTGTGTTAAAGAAAAAATACTTCTTACATTCAGAAATTAACTGCCAAAATATTTAAAATGAAATTTTATTAACTCTTGTCAGATCTTGTAACAAGTGCTAAACAAATATTTAAAATGAAATTTTATTAACTCTTGTCAGATCTTGTTACAAGTGCTAAAAAATTATCTTATAGTCAAATCTGATCACTTTGAAGTTATAATTGTGACTTTGGAAAAGTTCAAGGTAAACATGTTATTTAGAATATCCAAGTTATGATTTACATGAATATAAACTTTCATATACCAGCAATTGATTTGAGATAAACCAATTATGTGATCACTATATCTCAACAAAGGAATAACAAAGTTAAACTGTATAGTACTATTCCTACATTTATAAGTATGTCATTTCCTGAAGGAAGATGTTTAATTCTGTTTTCGATTTCCTGCTTACTGCTTGTATGTAACATTATATGAACTGTGATACTCACAGACAGCCCAGAAAAACAAAGAAATAAAACCTGTTTTTTGATTTCAGGCTGATGACTTGGATGCCATGGCCGATTTGGAATTCAGAGTGAAAAGCATGCAAAGGGAGATAAATCTACTTCAAGAGGAGCTGGCCTCTAAGGACAGGTAGTGGGAAAATCTCATGGAGCTCTCTGTAAACTTACATTAATTTAAAATCAATATTATCAACTTCTCACTAATCTATAACATATTTGGTGGAGAATTTTACTGTACTGATATCGAGGATACCAGAGGACAACCAATCATTCACCTCCAAGATAACTGCAGATGACCATGTTAATTTATCACCAGTTGTTTAATTAGTTAGGCCTATGAACATTTTTTTTCCCCTCATTATTTTAATACATGTAGTAACATTGTGTAGAAATGAGTTAACAGCCATTTGGAATTTCAGCTGTGGTGTCTTTATTGTAATCAATATAGTATGTGGGGAAACAAAATCTATTTAGGTTGTCATAGGAAATTTCAACCGTGGTACGGAAGTATTTTACAACAGTGTTTAAAATTGACGGTAATTCTGAATCCTGCATTCAATTTATTACTGTATTTGATTGACATTCTGTCAACATTTATAGAAAAGGAAATAATATTTTTCCTTTGTAGACAAATTGATAAACTTGAAAGTGAGCAGGGACATTCAGACATTGAGTTTGATGTGTCAGGACTAAATCGTAGAGACAGGACACATTCCACTCCGGCTCGGGAAACAGACAAACTGAGATCTTCACGCCCAACAGCTGCCAAAGCTGGTCACAAACGGTCAAGATCTGTGTCGCCACGGACACAAGTCCAGGACAAGGATGTAAAACTGAGGCTGATTAAGGCTGAACGATCACTGGAGGATACTAAAAACTTACTCAAATTGAAGGTTTGTTAATATGAAAAAAACAATTTCTTAAAATTGAAGAATTTAATTAAGTTTTTATTAATACATTGTATCATTATCAGACTTCATCAGCCAGGGTCACAGAAACCTTTGTGCCCCAACAGGCTTGTAAAGCATGTCAAAACATGTCAGCAACCAGGCAAAAGGACATATACTTTATGGAGACAAGGCTTTGGGAGTTCTTGTTGTTCTTTTTAGCCCACTATCATCTGATGGTGGGCTATTCAAATCACCCTGCGTCCGTGGTCCGTGGTCCGTGGTCCGTCGTCCGTCTGTAAACAATTCTTGTTATCGGTATTTCTCAAGAAGTGTAGGTTCCCTTTGGTCCTGAGCTGTGCAGGGCAACTTCTGAGACTGATTGGATAAACAACATGGCCAACAGGCAGCCATCTTGGATTTTGATATGGAAAGTTTGTTATCGCTATTTCTCAAGAAGTATCAAAGGGATCTTTCTCAAATTTTATATTTAGGTTCCCTTTGGTCCTGAGCTGTGCAGGGCAATTTTAGAGACTGATCAGATAAACAACATGGCCGACAGGCAGCCATCTTGGATTTTGATATTGAAAGTTTGTTATCGCTATTTCTTAAGAAGTACTAGAGGGATCTTTCTCAAATTTTATATGTAAGGTTCCCCTTGGTCCTTAGCTGTGCAGGGCAATTATAGAGACTGATCGGATAAACAACATGGCCGACAGGCAGCCATCTTTGATTTTGATATTGAAAGTTTGTTATCGCTATTTCT